GGCATGTTCGTCGAACTTGTCAGCAGTGACGAAGTCGACGGGCAGCGTGATCTTGACTTTGTTCTTCTCAGCTTTGGCCATCAGGTCTTTGACGATGCCGGCGCCCTCCTCGTCATACAGGGAGGTACCGATCTGACAGGAGCAGGAGGACGGGAGAAAAGATTTGTGACTTAAATGAAACCAGCAAAGACACAATTTAAAAACAAGTAAATCTGAGGAACTATATGTGAAGAGTATTCAGAATGGGGACACATTGAACATCCTAAGTTTTGCATCTAAAACTTTATATTCAGCTATACATTTTAAGATTTACCGCAAACTTCCATGACCATTACTTTAAAAAAATAAATTAATATACTGCCCTCCGAAATCTGATGTTTCTTTATGATACAGACAGGACTGCAAGAAGAAAAAACATTTACTCAAACCTGCAGACATTTATCACTGCATGATTCATAATTTGGGTTTTCTTCTATACGAGTCTCAAAGAGGTTTTGTGTTCAAGTCCTACTTAATGTTTGGAAGTTGCACCGAAGCTACCCCACGAGATGAAAACTGCCGAGTCAAGCTGATGCTGAAACTTATTTTACTTTACACCCTTCATGTGTCGAGCAAGTTTGTGTCATTTCTAGTGGAGACGCTCAGTGCCATTTAAAGGGATGTGACAACAGCTTTCTGATATCTTGCAGCCTCAGATGGATCAAGATCATTTAGGAATGTACACAACATTTACCGCTCAAACAGGAACAGTCAGAGGATGCCCGTTTCACAGGGCAGATTTGCCCATTGTGGTGCAAAATAACCTCACCTTTTTGCTCTGTAGTTTCCAAGTTTACTAAATCTAAAAAGTTATGCAATGTCACAAATGACCGAGATAAGAATTTTATAGCTGCACCTGTAACTGTTTGCATTGAGGCACAAATCACAATAAGTAACGTCCTGTCATTTTTAAGCGCTCCAGCTTCTTTCACCTCACACCCACTCTGTCTCCATACCTCTGCTCTTGCCTCATAGTTCAACTGTGAGCTTAGTGAGATTAGGAATCTTTTTGCCCAGGCAGGCAGCAACTTATCACTATTACTGGGTTTGTGGTAGCTATTCATTTCATAAACTGGGCAAATAAAACCAGGAGGAGGAAACTGAATAAAATCTGCTCGTCAAGAAGTCAAATTTAGGTCACGATCGTGACTTTCGGTCTCTGCAGTGATGCAAACAAAACTGTTTCACAAGACCGTTTCTTCACTACAAAAGTCCAAGTGTGAGCTCCATTAGAAGGAGAAATTTTATTTTATTAATCTACCTGAGGCTGAACACTGAGGTTAAAACATGAATACTCATGGAAAACTAAGAAACAAATCCACTCAAGACTCAAAAAGCATTTGTTTTTTAACCGAGTCTTCTTTTTTGGGGAGGTTCATCCAGCACGAGGGGAGCAAGTGTAAATGCAAACTATGGACCGCTAAACAATGAGCTGAAGCTCAAAGCTTTCTGAGGCACAGAGCAGGCGACCTCCATCAGGTGAAGTCACTTGAGCCACCATTTTTAACGGTTTCATTTTCGAATTGCTTTGGCGACGCATCCTCCTCCTCACCTCCATGTTGTTGAGGACTTTGAGGAAGGTGAAAGCCATGCCACCCCCGATGATCATCTCATCAACCTTATCCAACATGTTGTTGATCAGCTGGATCTTATCTTTCACCTTTGCTCTGAAACAGAGAGAGAAAACACGTCAGAACAGATAAACAGTGACAATCCTGAAATTCACTCATCTGTACATACAGGAGCTAAAAACTGGTTTATTTTATTAGTTAAGATGTCAAAGCTAAATTTTATCCTTAGATTTTCTCTCTTTATCAAAACTGCAGAGTCTTTTGCTGCAGGGCATCTGATGAACCCACTGCCTCCTAAAGTCCTGTGAGTCAATAATTCAATTAAATCTCTGATTATATAAAATTAGGCATTTCAAGCAAAAATCTTCACTGGCTCTCTGTGGTGGAGAGAGGGCCTCCTCTTCCTTTATGCTTTAAGGGTTTCATGTAGGCTTCATGACAGCTGCTGTAGTCTTTGGCTTTGAATGAAACTCTTCTTTTCAAAGTAGCATCTAGTTACACTGAGACAAACTTTAGTAGTTCGAAGTCTTTTAGCAGTGCATTATTTCTCCATTTTTGTTAAATATTGGCTCATGGAGCTGCTTAGATATTATATTGTATTGCATCCCACCACACAGAACAGTGCAGGAAAACCATTAATGACAAGAAATGGTTGAATAATCTGTTTGGTTTTTTTTGATTATTCCAATATTTGAACACAACCTTCTGTCATTATACCAAACCCTTATCAATAGATCTGCACTGTTATTACATTTCAACTGTAGTTATTAAAAAGAATTATGTCAGTGAAATCAGAAAGCGAAGCTGCTAATCGATTTATCTGCACCTCTGTACCATTAACCTCACCGCTGATGACTTTGAGCTGCAGAAAAGTCTGCAGTCTCCTGTTGCAGGTGTAATGTTGTAAGTCAGGGGTTTAAAAGCTGTCAGTTGACAGCCCCCACACTTCAACAACAGCTTAAACAAGAACTTTAACTCTGTCCAAATAGATGGCAAAATTTTCTATAAATATTGACTTTCATGTGGAATTGTTACTGGTCAATAACTGATTAAAAAGTTCGATCATATAGACGAGGTTAAATACTGAGATTCAGTGGCTAATCATTTACACGCCAATGGTCAGCATCCTCACCGAGGAGCTGATTGGCTGCAGCAGTCGACGCCGACTGCCAGCAATTGTTGCACAATGTACTCTGGCATGTTGCCACATCTGGCCAGCAGCAGACAAAGCAAGTTAAGGGTTATGAAACCACGGCAGGAAAGAGGTACAAAGCTACAGGAAACGGTGCCACAGTCTCACTAAAACTGTTAATCAAGTCATTATTCCTGAGAAGCAGCTCTTATTCTCACTGTATGGAAGCAATTTCTATACAATTAAATAGAAATACATTCTAATGGTTAACCTTATACAACACTTTGACACAATTAGCGACTGTTAGAAAATAAAAGTTGTTTATTTTGGAAGTCCTCACTTAATGATGGAAACTGTAGTTTTACTTCTGTGCACAGAAGGTTAATGGGCAGTTTTCTTTCTGAGCATAATTTGCAGACACGTGATAAAAGGTTTAAAACGTACATAAAATTTTGCTTGTTGACCACCAAATATTTGTGACCATAAATCAGGGGTTAGAGTATAAATCAAAACCAACTTAAATCTTAATCCTGGATCTGCCTGCTCACTGAGCCTTGAATAAAGCAGTGCACAGTGACACCACAGACAACATAATGAGCTTTTCCTCTATTCCTGGCTGGACACCCTGTGACACTTCCTAAAGAACTGAGCAGAAGAAAATAATGTCTAACGTGGACACAAATCAGAACTAGTGACCATGCTCTGCGTAGTTTTTTTATATTGTCCAGCCAACATTTTCAAACTTAATCTGTTAAAAAGAGATGTTCTCACCCTCCGAGGATAGCCAGGAAGGGCCTCTGAGGTTTTTCCAGAGCCATGGCGAAGTAGTCGAGCTCCTTCTTCATAAGGAAACCAGCTGCCTTCTGAGGCAGATTCACTCCCACCATGGAGCTAACAGCGACAAGGAAGAAGAAGTTACAAACTACTGAATTATACCATTTAATTAAACTAATCGAATTAAAACTTCTCAAAGACCATCTGCTTTGAAACCGCAGATGTCACTTAGTGATCATCACTGTATCCACCTGACCTGCGTGGCGCTCACCTGTGCGCTCTGTGAGCCGTCCCAAAGGCATCATTGACGTAAACGTCTCCCAGTTTGGACAAAGACGCTCTGAAGGAGTCAATCTGCTCCTGGGTTGCCTTCGTCTGGAAAGACAAGAGAAGACAAACACCATTTGTTAAGGCTGCAAAGTGCAAAAGCAAGAGTTCATCCATTTTACTTCAACAAGACTGTTGGCCTAAATTCAGGGACTCGTTTAAGTCCTGTGAACTGATGCTGCATGTGTCATCATTCTGATCTCAAAGCAGTTTTTCCTTGTTTCAGCTCTAATCCAGTTCCACTGTCCACATACAAATAAAAGCTAATCTACTTGCCACCAATGAGCAGAGGGCAACACCTACATACCCAAATATCTTCAAGCTCAACTCCGTTTTGTGTCCAGGTATAATCGCACTGCTGTCAATATGAACTCAGTTTATCCATCAAGATTCAGTCAGTACATTGTGGGTCAGGTTTCGGATGCACTTTAACAGGGAAAGGTCACAACTGTGAGACTGCAGGCAGAGTAAAGGTCAAGAGAGCTCCTTAGGGGTCGACCAAATGCCAGGGAGCCCAGGTCACTTCCTTCCACGGGACAGGCTTCAGGCTTTAAACTTTTACCCCCCTCCAAAGAGTATGAGCTTCAGAAACCAACAAAAGTTAGCAATTTTTGTAAAATAATCGAATAGCTGCAGATTGGTTTTCTATTACTTGACCAGACTAACTACTTGCTTCAGGCCAAAAAATAAACTGGATAAAACTAAATATGGATCTTCCCCCATAATTCGACACAGTGATGCTTTTAATAGCCAGACCTCCAAGCTGAAATAACCCTGATGAACTTTCACAGCTACAGAAAACACTTTACAGTTTCACAGGGCGAGTCCTCCTACTGGTGTAAAAAGCAGTGGAGCGCCCATTTAAGTGAGAAAGTGAGAGCATTTCATGTTTTTATAATGAGCTAAAAATAAAGAGACCGTGGTGTGATACACTACAGCGGTACAGTAGAAACCAACCGGCATACCAACGAGGCCTCACAGGACAGGAAAAGCCCACCGACCTTCAAGATAAATGTCAACAGGTCAAAAGTGGTGCTCGGCCACGGGTCAGACCGATGCTCATTTCAGACAGCGTCTGTCTGTGAGTTTGAATATGCTACAACATTTGTGCCTCAGCATAAAGGAGGAGATTAGGGAGTGCAACCAGGCATTCTCTAACCAGACTATTTATCCCAGAGATGGGAAATTGCTCCTACAGCAGCCTTACTAAACCACAACATAAATGGCTTATGAGTAGACGAATATGAATCTCAATAAAAACACAAATGACCAAATTTATCTTAAATAGGTAAATGAAAGCCTGTTATTGTGTGTGTTGCATCATTAGGGCTTTTTAGAAAAGTTTAGTCACATTTTGGATCACAGTTCGTTTATCCTACGAACATAGTGAGGTTAACAGTGTGCTACAAAACAGTCTCTGCGCCAGCACTGTGATGTCAGACGGTGATGCAGCAATTTCAGGAGAAGCTGCAGCTGGAGTGACCGCGTCTTCCTCCATGTGACCAAGCACAAAGAAAATCTGCTGAACCGACAAGGTGTTGGCCATTTTTCTGCTTCACTTTGCATCTTTTTAGGTCTTATTGAAAGTGTGTAAAATATAGAACACACTTTTTTTTAAAACTATAAAAAGACACCTTTGTCTGAGGCCTGGGTCATATTTTCAAATACAATTTTGCCTTCCAGTGATTATGTTGACAAAATGATTGGGCCACATTCCCTTTCGCACTGACGCTCTTATTCTCTGTGTCTTTTGTGCTCGAAAATTCAACTGCAGCATGTTCGTGGATAAAGCCTGGTCTGTTCTCAGTGTACGGCTTGGTTGCCAAATAACAACTTGCTCAGTTACATTTGTGATGCAGCAAATTGCCATGTGACGCAAATAGAGAAAAAGGTTGGCCAAACTACATTATTTTAATCTCTGTGAAAAATTCACTTCACAGTGTGTTGTGAGAGGTGATGATGTTCAACTTCTTTTAGATGGAGGCAAAAAGAAAAAGTAGAGGACTGGACGTAAAGAGACAAACTGTAGGACTACATGCAAGTTCTGAAAATAATAGGAACTTGATTGTAGCTGTAAGTTATTGTGCTCTTCTTCACACCGATGGCAGTTAGGAGACTAAATATTCAAGTTTCTAATATGACTGTAGTCTTAAATGACAGACCAATATTCTGTCTTTAGGAAAACTGACACACACACACAAAATAAAAAATTCTCAGAAGCCCAAACCACACATAACGCTGCTGAGTCTAACCACCGTTAACACTCAAACCTCAGAGGCTCACCTTGTTCCCAGAGGAATCCTTCCCTTTGCCCTCCTCGGCAACGTGGAAGCGGAGGTTCTCCAGCAGGATGACGGATCCAGAGGTGGGGTCAGCACAGGCAGCTTCCACCTCAGGGCCCACACAGTCCTTCAGGAAGGTGACGTCCCTACAGTCACAGAATTAGTGAGTGTGATTATGATTGGTTCTTAGAGCAGATTTTCTCTTCTTTAGTGTATAGACAGACAGATATATACATTTTAAACAAAACAAATCTGCCTTTGCTAGAAGCAACCAAAAATAGTGTTAATATCTTTCTTACTAATACCAGAATATTTCAACCATAACAAGGACATCGCCTCTGCCCTTGTTAACAAACACCACTTATTCAGGCCATCATCTCACCTCCCTAGGAGGGTCTTGAGCTCTGCAGCGACGGGCTCCAGGGAGTATTTCTCAGGCATGGCGTTTCCGTCAGGACGGCCCAGGTGACTCATCAGCACCACAGACTTGGCTCCATGATCCAGGCAGTGCTGGATGCTGGGGACGGCTGCCTTGATCCTGAAGGCAACACACGAGTGAACAGGAGTGTTTAGAAAAAAAAAGAATCAAGTCACACTTACTCCAACTTAATGTTAATGTTCTTGCTTTTAGGAATGTTATATTCCTCCCTTTTCTGTTAAAAGACTACAGTTACATTTGTCAAAAATCAAGGCCAGTGAGATCTTGACATCAATGTATGGAGTTTTAACAGAATTAAAGCATGCTGGGAAACTACATATTTTTCAGTTTTTAGTTTTCATTTCCGATGGAGGCTCTCAGCAAATCTAAATCTGCAGCTCCTCTTCTAGAAATCCCAGCTGCTTAACGCATAACAGACTGAAAAGATCCAGAATAAAATAGACGCTACCTCTGGTTGTTTGTGATCGCCTTGTCCTTCATTGGAACGTTGAAGTCGACTCTGAAAAAGAAGAACCAGATTGTGAACTGATAGATCTCAAACCTCAGCTTATGCTTGCCTCTGAACATTTCACATCAGAAAATAAAACCAGGATGCTACAAAGTGCTACAAAATTTTAGGGAATCTGGCAAGACTTTAAGACAGGGGTGTGGAACTCTAGGCCTCAAGGGCCAGTGTTCTGCAGGTTTTAAATATCACCCTGGGTCAATACACCTGAATCAAATGATTACTTCAAGACATATTGAGTGGGTAATTTAGCCATTTCAATCAGCTGGGTTGGATCAAGGACACATCTAAAACCTGCAGGACACCGGCCCTAGAGGCCTGGCGTTCCCCCACCCCTGCTTTAAGACTATACCCCTTACCCATTTGTTAGAAACCAGATGTAACTGGCAGCTGAGACAGGAGGTCTTGATTTAAATCTTGCACCGTTTTTAGCTCAGTGTTTGGTGCCTTCTCCTTCCTCTATTGACTCCTGGAGTCAGCTATAAACAGCTCGAGTCCCCTGATGCCAAGCAGTCAATACAAAGATCTCCATTAGCTGAGAAGCTTTCCTCTAAAATGCCTTTTAGCACACTTTATTTTTATTTCCCATGTAGAGAGGAACATACATTTTAACTTTCAAGGATTTAACCTTGAATCCCCCCCAAAAAAAATCAGGACAGTAATAAAAAAAAAAAAAATTACTCATGCATGAAATTGGTCGACTTTGTTTTTAAAAGGGAAAAAAAGCCCATTTTGAGCCAGGAACTGAAACTGTTTTCCTTTTCACAGATGCACACTGGCAGCTTAGAGTACACGTCGTGTCCCTCGTACTCCAGCCGGTTACATAGCTGCTTCTCCTTTCCCTCCCTCTGGGGACCTGATGCTCTGAGACGTGAACAGCCTGTACGCACTCGGTACCTGCCGTCATTGTTACAGCAATCCACTGTCTTAGTCTGAAAGCCATCGGTCAGCAATTCAGAGGCTCAACAGTAGGATCTTGTTCACAGGTGCCACTCATCCAAAAGCTGTGGTAGTTTTCCGCTCTATTTTTGTAAATTTCTGCATTTTTCCCCCTGTTGCTCTTGAATGCAGATCTTTATACGGTTTATAGTACAGTGGACTCTAAAGCTCTTTTAGCTGCTTTACAACTAGAAATAAGCTCAATGAAGGAGTTAACAGCAGCTCAGCAGCTGGTTTTTCATGAACATTTATTTCGCTAAAACTGCAAATATAAAACGCCACCACTTCTTTTTTGCCTTAGTTGGTAAAACCTAACATTACAAGGAGAGGAAATTGCAGCTTAATATTGCATGGTGAAACAAACACTGGTTAGGCAATGGCAAACTCAAACCACAACGAACAAATGAATGGACATCATGATCTTCCTCCTTTCTTGCCTCTTGTAATTGTCCCATCTCTAGCCTACTGAGATTAGCTGAACACTTTAATCAGAGGATCCTGCACCAAAAGTGCACTGCTCTGTAGAGAGAGGACGCGATAGTGGTTCAAACAGAATTGGAAACCCTTTGTGTTCCTATCCTAATGGGAATTTTCAGTCACTTAAAGAATCTGTCGGAAGTAAACAACACTAGAAGTGTTTGGTTATTGCAGATTCACTTGCAGTAGACTTCAAGTCTACTACAATCCATCAAGTAAAACTTTAAACTTTTTTTAATGCTGTAAAGTTTGGTACATTAACATGTGAGGGTATTTCTCACTTTTGTTCAGAGCCCCAAAAGGCACTACTGTGTTTGACTCTCCATTTTTGCCTTCATCTTTCTGTTCGCTGGAATTGAAGCAACCCCCAATATAAATTCAGTCAACACAGTCCCTAACCCTTTCAAAGACTAAGGAAAAATAAATACATTTTGCAACCTTAAAACTGACATGTTTCATGCTGCAGCAGGAGCCTACATGACAGAGGAAGCCGGCTGCAAGTCTCTGCTGAACACATTTCAATTCTGTCTGCCACTTCAGGTCTCTATAGCAACATGTAGCCCTTTCCCCTTTTCAATTTAGGGCCAGCCTTCTTCAGTAAGGAAACACCGATTCACTGCCTCCATCTGAATCTGGGGGAAAAAAAAACAAAACACAAACACCACCACCATGTGTCATGCCACGACAGGCCCTGGGTGTGATCTGATGTAACCCATTGTCTGACTGTCTTAGACCGGCACAACATTCGCTCACATTTAGGATAACTCAACATGTGGTGAATTTTGACCTTTTAACACTCAGCAATACGGGTGAACCTTGTTCTAAGCCACCTGGTGTTGCATCACCAAACTGAGTGAACCAGCATGGCCCTCTGACATTTTCACACATGGTGTCAGTTTCAAAAGTGCCTTCAAGATCACTGGAGGGGGCTGCAGAAATATAAAGTGAATGACTGGCAAATTAGACTAATATAAATTTGACTTCAGATGTGTCTAGCTAGGATGCAGGGCATCTTTTCTGCTAGAGAGATTTCCCTGGAAGATAGGAATAATAATAAAATAAAACAAACAAATTGGACTGAATTGCCAGTGACCTTAGGCTTAGAGCCTAATCATTACCTGTTAAAGTGGATCAGTCGGCTGATTAATAAAGTCAGAGTCTTGTTTGATTCAGTTTTCAAGCAATTAAAGTGTTTATTTGGCTCAACCTTCATATCCCAGCTCAAAAATCACTCGACTTTTTTGGGCTGTTTTGGGCCTCCTAAACTACTGAGAATGGATGTCAAAATGTGAATCTGGATATTTGCGCTAGTTATTTTTTGTCGATTATCATTAACTATGAAATTAATAATCCCTTTCATGGATAACGCCAACAATTGCTAGTTTTCCCTCTATATATGAAATAGTTCCTGGTGCTGTCTGTATCACCACCTTTAAAATCTCCTTTGAGGCCTAAGCTGAAATCTGAAGACTTCACTAACATTCATCATCAATTTTCAGGTTTTTAACTGACAAACTCATTATTATTAGAGGGATGCTGATGTATTTTACAGGACTGACTCGGATGCCAGTGGTTCCATCCATCCATGCAGCATCTCCGCACAGGCACGTAACATGAAAGGAAAACGTGACAACCGACGAGTTCACTTCCTGTCGTCTGCCCGTCGGACTAAACCGACTCAGACACCATTTAGCTATCACTTTAATGCCCTCACATCACTGTGTGTGAGCACCAAACAGTCTGCCACCGCAGGAAGAACAAACACGACATTTTGGAGAAGCTCATCAATAATCTCATTTCCGATTAGCCACTACAGTGCCAGCAGAAGCTAACTGCCAGGCGATAATTAACGCTCACCTCATAACGACCCGCTTCCCCTTGACGTCCACCTTGTCCAGTGTGAGTTTGTTAGACAGAGACATTTTGCTGAGTTTAGCTGCTTCTTTCGTGCACCTTCCTTTGCTGGGTCTCCTCCGCCTCCTTCGGCTGTTGGTTAGCTACCGAATGACAGCGGTGACCTTAGCGCAGCGGAGGAACACCACCGCGGGCAGGGCAAAACGCACACCCGCCGCTGCTGATTGGCTAATGTATTAGGAGAGCTTCCACGCTGATTGGATCGGTTTGCTGTTTATCTTCTGATGCTTCCTGATTACTGCATCAGCTGAACTTAGTGGATGTCATTCAACCCCCCCACCTCCCCCTCTGCATACTTTAGATTAGAAGATATAGCAAAGGCCATGGACGGATCTACAGTCATGGCATTGGGTGGCATGTGCCACCATATAATAGTCTTTTGTCACCCCAGTCAGTCAGTCATCTGCAAAACTAGGGTGGCACTAGGGGTGGCAAGAAATTATTTTAGGGTTCCACATGCCACCCTATGCCACCCCTGTAGATCTGCCCCTGCCTATATGCCCTTTTTAAATTTTAGTGATAGCCACTAAAACCAGAATTATGATTAAAATAAACTATATATATATACTAATGCTTTTTTTCCTGAATACTGTCATCACGTTTAGTGCAGGAAAAAATGGTAAAAATGTCATTTTCAAATGACAGCACAAAAAAAAGGGAAAAAAATGCTACGGCAAAAAATGTACTGTGTCGACCAATAAAAAAAATGATATGGCAGCACATGAGGTTTGTGTGACTGCTGAGAGAGAGAGAGAGCGAGTCTTGAAATGTGAGAGATTTGTGAAGTTTAGCATTTTGTGGTGTAGTTAGTGTGTAGCATTGTCTAGTATAGTCAGTGTGTAGTGTAGTCATTGTTTGGTTTTGTGTGTTAAAAAAATGAGGGTACTATTGAATGTCAAAAGTAGGCAACGCTGTCTCTAGGTGGAAAAAAGGAGGAGCAATACACCCCCCATTGTTAGACCTGCAGGTTTTAGGCCTGTGGTGTTCTCATGTAATGTAACAAACCTCATGTTACAATTTTATATTTTCTATTAAAAAAAGAGTGTGATGCTTAAGTTAGACTTGTGTGTTAGACTATATTTAAATGAAATGTGTATACTTTGATGAATTTTAACCATATATAATACATATTACAGAAAGTAACAGCTGCATATGTGTAAAAAAAAACTAAGGACATTTCTCTAGATCAGGGGTAGGCAACTCCAGGCCTCGAGTGCCGGTGTCCTGCAGGTTTTAGATCCCACCCTGGGTTAACACACCTGAATCAAATGATTAGTTCATTACCAGACCTCTGGAGAACTTCAAGAAACGCTGAGGAATCATTTAGCCCTTTAAATCAGCTGTGATGGATCATGGACACATCTAAAACCTCCAGGACACCGGCACTCGAGGCCTGGAATTGCCTACCCCTGCTCTAGATCTACCCCTGGCAAAAGCATCAAGGATATTATTTTTGCAAAAATAAGCACGTGAAGGAAAAATATAATTAGGTTAATAATAAGGAAAGTAATATCTGTAAGATAAAAAATGCCAATACTGATTAATACTATATAAATGAATGAAATTCCTAATACATTTAAAAAACATACCAGTAATTACAACTTAAGAAATCTTTTAACAGATTATTTATTGTATACACATCCTTGGATGAATATATTAGATGTACTGAGTACATTAGTTAGAAAATGTGTCACCACTTTGCAAAGGTCCTGAAAAAGATAGCATCATGCTCTGGGGCTGGTACAGTGGTACTGGTACATTGAACACAAATGGATGGAATAATGAAGGATGACCTCCAAATTCTTCAACTTCATCTCAAGTCAACTACATGGGTTGGTACCAGTGAGTGTACTAAAAATCTGACTACACTGGTATTCAAAGCTTTCTGGGTTATTTTCGTTTTTCAGGCCTGTATTTCTCATGTAACAGTATTTCTCATGATCACACAGACCTTGTAATTTTATATTACCATATTACTCCCTTCAAATGTCTTAAGCCTCTGTTAAAAAGCCTAATAAAAACACACGGGAGGTAGTAAAATCTGTATTATTGTAATGTTTTAATGCCCTTCAGCAACTCACTTTTCCTCAGTTCCAAACAGTTCTGTCTGATATCAAGCCAACTAATAACTTTATTCAAACAGATGGAGTCAGTAGAATCACACTTAATTTATTTGGACAAAGAAACATGTTGGAATAAACAAGAGCATTTGCTGTCTGAACACGCAGATATTTTATTCATCTGTACAAACAGAAGGGTTGGATGGAAGGTAGCTCCGTCATGGCACCTCTTCACTCCTCTCTCCACGGTTTGGGCTGGATCTTCCCGACAGGTGACAGATTCCAGGTGATGCCAGTCGAAGTTAGCACCTGAAGCAAGAGAAGTCAAATTTATTTTTTCAGTATTGCTTGGTGAAAACGAGAAAACAGACAAGTTTGGAAATATGAAACAAATTTTAAAAAACTGAAACATTTGCATATCAGTGGAAAATGCGAGTGTGCAGTTATCAAACTTTGTTTTTAATAATTTTTACTTTTGCCATTTAATAAAAACACCAATAGAGAAAAAAAAAAAAGGTTATTCTGTAGAATTTCATTTTGAAACAAACATCTCAATTCAATAGGGAGTCTATATTCAGTCCCCAAAAAAAAGTCCCCAAAATCCTAAGGTCTGTTCAGGTCATGCTCATAACTGAATGTGATGTGATCGAACTTACGTATCCCCACACGGCTGTGCAGAAGATGGCTCCACTAACCAACACACCGGCACCGTACTTTGAGTGGAAGTTCTGGGGGAGGTTGGATCCATGCCTCACCTGCCGCATGGCCTGGCCTACATGACAAGAAGAAACAGTCCTCATGTTAATGACTGAGCTGTCAGAATGAAAAGAGATGATATACAGAAACTACTGAAAACAATCAATTAAAAAAAAAAATAGGGCACAAAATCAATCAGTAACAGAAACTAATGATAAAAACAAAACAAATCTAAACAAACATCTTTTTGTTTAATTTTTTACTTCATCTTATTATTGATGTATATGTAGAGGTATTCATGGAGCTCTTCTATTTTCTATCTAATCTGTGTTTTTGTGTATTTTTACAGTTCTGTCCCCTTTCATAACATACACAGTAACTCATTTTTAAAGTGGGGTTTAAAGAAACCGATGCATGCTTAAAATAAGCACGTACATTCTGCTCTCATGTAATAAATAGTATTTGTGAGTACAATTCGCTGTATTAAATATTTTCTCAGGCATTGTTAAGCTCAGTACTTCCACAATCAATTTCGCTTCCTGCTAGCCTCTTTTACAGGGGCAAGTCAAGAGACTTACCAATCTTATTTGCCCTTGCAGTATCGCACTCTCACATCAGACGGGTACTTACAAAACCTAATGCATACTAGGATAAATACTCGATAAAGAAATGAGCATTGCAAGTGTGTTAGCCTGTCACGTCTTCGAGTTACGCAGGTCAGAGGGTCGGACAAGGACATGTTTATTGAATAAGGAGCACTTTAAAACGACTACCTCAAACGTAATAACGACTCTTACTTACGGGATATAACTCTGGTTATTAAATTAATCGGGAAAACAGCTTTTTAAGATTTCTTCCTTCAGGGGTGCTAAGGTTAGCCTGTCTGCACGCTGACTGCGGTCACCGGCCCATCAAACTGTCATTCTCCAGGTCAACTAGTATTAAACAGCACACCGATCTAAAAACGCAACCATTTAGGACGAGTTTATATGAAAATAACTGCTTTCTTACCGCTGATGTTCACTGCAGCTTTACCAAACCGGTACATGTTGCCTAGCCTGATGTCTTCAGATACCCTTGAAGCACGGAATTGTAATATGGCCGCCGCACGTAGACAAAGCGGAAGTTATGCTGCGTTCACGTTTAATAGTTAAATAGTCCCCGCCAGTGTACTTGAGTAAGTCATTCAACCTTCCATAAAAAGGCTCTGGTCTCCGCTAGCAAACGAGCTGTTCTCGTGACGATGTTTTTCAATTTTCACATCAACCTACTATATTAAAAACCTGTGGAATTAATGCCGATGAATGCTGCTTATTTATGTCAAATTAAACGGATATCCGCTAAAGATAATATAAATGACTACATATTTATCCCACTCTTCTCCATTCCCTGAACGCAGCATCATCACGAGTCCTAAAACGAGCATGCGCAGATAAAGTCTGAACATTAAAAGTGAATACAGAAGATAAATACGCACTTTAAGCTGAGATAAAGTTGTAAAATACCCTCGGTTAACTGGCAGTTGCTTTTGTTAAGAAATATAACGACATATATTACAATCAAATCAAATCATAGGCTACACAGTGTTAGGGTTAAGAGCCCTACTAACAACAATGTTGAGCACCGTGTCAGGATGGCCGAGTGGTCTAAGGCGCCAGACTCAAGGATAATCTCCTTCCGCAGAGACGGGACTTCTGGTCTCCGACTGGAGGCGTGGGTTCGAATCCCACTTCTGACACATATCTTTTTTTGGTTAAAATCGATGATACAAAATGATTAGGGTAGGCTGAGTAGGTTATTAGTTAATTTTCAACTATAGTATGAGTTTCTAAAACTTGGCACAGGTGAACGTCATTGTTTTAAGTTTCATGCTTGACATTTTTCGTTGCTTGTTGAAATATAAATACGAAGTGAATGGAATCACATATGGCTGTCTTCCCTGCCAAATATATTGTATTTTTCATTTAATATTATCAGGACAGGTCGGTCTGCTCTGGTTTGTTTATAGACATGAGAATGAAGTAGTTCACAGTTTTGTTATTACAGGACATTTTAAATGTTTAACACATTTCTACAAATTAGTTTATAACTAATTAACAAATTTACCAGCTCAAACATTTATGCTAATGTTCTGAGCTTTCTGCACAAGTACTCACTCTGCATTTTGTAGGAATCATGTGTTTGTCAGGCACAATCCAGGACTTTTTAAAATCAGAGTGCTTTTCAGATGTAAATGAAGTGTGGAAAACTGTTGCAGAAAACACTGTTCCACGTAGATTTTCCGGTACAACTATTACAGAGAAACTACCCAGTGAGTTCTCAGGGTGAAAATATCTTGTTGCTGTAAGAGGTCAGAGGAGGCTCCTATGAGCTGATAGGAAGGTAACAGAAACTCAAATTCAAATTCAAAGTGTTTATTGTCAGTACAGAAGAAATAGCATTCTCTGTGCAATGACATTCTTCCTTTGCTGTCCATTCACAAATGCCAAGTTAGGTAAGGGGTAAAAGAACAAAAATAAAATAAAATAAATAAAAAAGATAAAATAAGGATAAAAAAATAATTAAAAAAGATAAATAATTACAAATAAGTAAGTGAAGAAAAGTGTGGTATGCAGATGTCGATGTAGATGGATATACAAAGGAGCTTAATGTGCAAAGCGACCTGATGTGCAAAATTGCAGTTGAGGTAGGTCAGCTGTTCAGGAGTCTGATAGCAGTGGGGAAAAAGGAGTTGTTGAGTCGGGATGTTCTAGATTCCACACTTCTGAATCTTCATCTCGAGGGCAGTCCATAGCAGTAGTGCTGCTGTTCTTCCTCATGTCCACTATCATCTCCTTTGTCTTATCAGTGTTGAAGGCAAGGTTGTTGTCCTCACACCATGACACGACTCGTTATAACCACGGTATGCAGAACAGCATCTCTGAGCACACAACACACTGAAACTTAAACCAGATGGGCTACATCAGGAAAAGACCACACTGGGTGCCACTCCTGTCAGAAGAGCTTGCGTTGATTCGGCAAATAGGAGACTGGAAAAACATCACATGGTCTAATGTGTCTTAATTTGTGCTGAGCCATTCAGATGGTAGGGTCGGAATTGGGCATAAACATAAAGGCATGTAAACATGTTCAATAAAAATCTAAATATAGATATAGAAAGACACAAGACAGTCAAGTCTTCATATTGTAGTTTTTTTTAATTAAATCAAAAACTCATTTCAGGATTATAACAGTATGACTGTATGATGAATAATATATATACGCATACCAGGAATGTCAACATATTGGATGTTTTGTTTGTTTTAAATGGAAGTTACATAGAAGAAAACATTTCTCTACAGTCAGAAACAACTCCTGAGTTACAAATGAACTCACGTCTGAAGGCTTGAAAACGTTTCAAAGTTTAGCTGTTACGTCCATGACAGCTGATCTGAGGGTTGGTTTTGGTCTCTCTGTCATCATGGATTTAGTGTTAAAATCAAGGTAAACAGAATAAATGGGGGAAATTTTTTTTTCCAAATGTTTGTTTATAGGAGCACCATGGTGACCGCACTTACCATTACGCATTTTTTCTAATTCATTTACTGACAAGGTTTTTACATGTCTACTGCTTTTACAGGTCAAAAAGCAAATTGAGAATGAAAAGAGCAGCAAATCCTTTGTCTGGGATGCTGAATCCAGATGCTAAAATGCTTAACTGCTGTTCTGTGGTAAGATCGCAGGAGACAGCAGAGGAAGAGAGAAGATGGCCTTTCCATGCAGAGGAAACACATCAACCTGCACTGTCACAGTAGTATTATAAAGCTACTTTCAGCTGTTCCCTCCCAAAAGATACCCTTATACAACCCCAAAGGGATCTGTGTCTCTTCCTGGAATCAAACCGGGGATCTTTCACTTGTTAATAGTGACTATGGAGCCACTGATATAAGATCAATCAAATATGTTAAAGGTTCCCACCAAATCTCCTCAAAATCAGCTCATTTTATGGGACAGATTTAGTGTATTTAATTATGCCATGCAAAATTTGACCTTTATACTTGGAATATTTTTTTTCCAGCTACAGGAACTGTTAGGAGTAAACCGAAGGGTAGGGATAACAGACCTATTGTACATCATCATCCTCTTACAGTTTGAACATGCGTGCAGGTACGAATCTTCAGAGATCATCAGTACAACAGGCCTGATGTGAAAGTTAGATGTAGTTTGTAAGGAAAATGTACTTACTCTTATAATTAAAGTGACAATGGACGAGTTTTAGATTTAACTTATCATGTTAGGAACTGCACAATGTAGCGGCTACAGAACAATGACACCAGCAGTGTTTAGACTACCTCCTTTAAGGCCTTGATTTAATGATGCAAGTCTGTGTCAAGGTTGGTCACCAGGTAGCGGGAATGGCGGTAGAGTGACCCTGCTGGAAGGTAAAGAGGGTGGTTACCTATGGAGACAGTTCTGTGATTTGATAGTCTTTTAGCTTAAAACAGACATGTGCATTAAAACGCAACTATTGGTCTATAATTAGTGTATTATTGTAGGGTCTTTACAACATAAAGTGCCTTGAGGCAACTGTTATTGTGATTTGAGCCTATAAAATTAAAAGTGAATTGAATTGAGAAAGATCCAATATATGCAAGTATGCAGGGAAAAACTGTATTTAAAAAAAAAAAAACAGTCACACCACAATGGGAGTAAACTCAAAAATACCAGAATTCTGACTCTGACATTGGCTGTCCTGCTTCAGACCTGGATTGATTTTAACCAAAAATCGCTTCCTGAGAGCCTTCAGCGAAACCTGGCAACCATCAACATGAGCTGATCACCTTTTTCAGCACCACATAACTACCAGGAGCTCAACAAAACGCTGGGATTGGTCGGCGGATCAGTGTTTAAGAGATTACACGTAACAGCTCTAAACAATTAAAGAACTCTACATTAGAAAGCTGCATTTCTAACCGTTAATGCCTTCAGACGAGATTAATAAAGATAAACTGAATTCAGTCATTGTATACAAGCCGAGATTGGTCCAAAAGTAGTGGTAGATGGACAGAAGGTGGAGGAGTTTTCCAGCGACCCTATTAGGGTTATCAAATTACCAATATACATTAAGGCATCTTGTTCCCCCTTGTGGTCACGGTTCATGTTTTAGTTCGCCTTCTTGTTTTTTCCTTCCTCGTCATCGGTGTACTCCGTCGGCTCCTCTCCTGGCTTCAGAAGCTTGCCGATGTAGTCGTACTTCACTGAAACGTAGAACAAAAATCGAATTTAAAAAAAGAAAAAGAAAAAAGAACAGAAGGGAAAACAGCCAAGGTCTGCACGTTGCGATCTGCAGCTATCTCACTTTATTAATGTGACCTCACACCAAGGTCACCTGCGTGAGGCGTGAGGTGGCCATGAAACTCAACCAGAGCCGCCTCAAGTTACTCTTTTTCTCATTTTCTTATGAAAATCAAACATTTCATCACTGCAGTTTTGTTTAAGCTCATACAAGCAGTGACATTCACTGATCGCTCTCTCTGTGCTTCTGGGCTGTTTCAGGATAAAGCCCTGAACACATAAATGGCAGAGATGGCCAAAATCTCTTCCTTTTTCACCTCCATGGCTCCAACAGGTTTTTGCAAATTTGCACTATGAGCGTGATGGGAAACAATCTTAAAGCAATCCAGTTGTAATCTGATATCCTTTTAATCTGATAACAGGCTACTGACAGTGAGGAAAATAAATATTTGTGGCTAAAGGGTAAAGGGAGATAATGGATTAAGAGCTGGCAAATCAAACTGCCTGACATACTTGTTAACTGAAACCCTGGTTGATCTAAGTACAGGCTTTATTTTACTATAAATGCTTAGTAAATTATAAAATACACAAGAATTGTAAATCATGTTTAAATTTTTTTCTGTGGCATTTTTGGACCCTAATAACCTGACAGTGTGCTTTATCTTCCACTCACTGGTGAACTGAGACTCCCAATCAGAAAGGCTCTCCTTTTGCATGGAGTTCAGGTCCGACAGGTCGTCGTGTTCATCTTTCAGGCCCTCCTTATCCAGGCAGAAGGTTGCAAGACCTCTGGATGCATCTCTGCCTGCAAACACTCCGTACGGTCCATCTGCAAGGTGAGGAAGACATACGATCAGATGATCGTGCATGGGAAAATATCTTGAATATTTGTCTTTAAATCGTCTTTAAATCTGAGGAAAAATCTGATGTTAAAAAAAGGTTATTTCAAATACAGATAATGATAAATTTCCCCAAAACTCCCCCAAAGATGTGGTTCATATCATTGAGGGTGTTTAAAACTCCTAACGAATGCTGTCTTATTCCAGAGTATACTGAACTAGGTGAGTAACCACCTGCCTCAGTTTGGATTTATTTAAAAGATATAACAAAAAGATCAGCATATAGAGTTAATCAGTCTTTTTTGCCCCCCCCCTCCCCCAAACAGCAAACAACAGCCAGTCCTAAGGTTTTCCTCGAGAGCTGCCAAAGCTTTTTCAACTTCAGGGTAAATTTTAATATAAATGATCCAAACTCCTGAAATGAGACAAACCGTGGAATTTAGGCTACAGGGCAGGGTGTGGAGTGCACTAAGAAAATCTGCATGACGGATGACTATCATGTTGTCCAGAGGTTACAGGCAACAGAGGTTACATTCTTAGATAAGACAAAACCCGTGAGTGCTCACTCTGTGCCCGTTTCCACACAAGTGAAAAGTCACAGAGAAAATTGACTGTGTCCAGGAAATCATCCACATCCAGATACTTCCCTAACTAATTTACTTACCTAATTTTTAAGTTTTGTGTTTTCACGGCCTCAGACTTTTCTTTATATTTTTGGCCATTTGCTAAAAATATTTTCGGCTTTTATTAATTAAATGGAACTTAAAAAAAAAAACTTGTTAAAGATGACAGTCCTGGTGATTTTCACTCTTTCATTTCATCCTCTTAGAAAGTGGTTTTCAGAAATGGGAATGTGAAGCTTAAGTGATTTTGTTTGGTTTAAACCTATTGTTGTCCATTTTCTGTAAAGCTATTATCAGAAACAACTGCTATATCTGTGTCCAAAGCGTTGTGTATTGCATTGATGAGACATCAAGTGAAACTGAACCAGGGCTGGGTTGTACTTTTGTGTAATAACAGTTTGTACCATAAGATGGTGCAGTGAGTTTTAGATCAATTCTGCTTAGTCACTACAAAAACATAGTCAAATTAATTCAAAGTAGTCCAAATGTAAAGCTATAAAAAAAGAACAATCTAGATAACAGCTATTAAGACATTGTTAACAGCACATTCAGACCAATCAGAGACTCTATCTTCTATCTTCTTCTCTATGGACAGAAGAAGCATCAGGTATGTTTTAAACATTGCAGGGATCAAGCCTTTTTTCTAAGGAGAACGCAATGTCTTCATAGACGATCTCTGGCTCCAAGGCCACCGCAGCCCCTATGTTATGAAACGGGATCTCAGTTAAACAACTAAAGGGGGTGTGGCGCCAGCTCCAAGACACAGAAGTCAACTCAAAGTTGTGCCAAGCAGCAACAGTTTATTTGCATTTGGCGATAGTAACTAAACTAAAACCCACGCTAAACTAACTGCCGTTGGTTTTGTTCGTGGCACGAGGACACCACAGTTAGTAACCACTGCACGCGCACGGCTCGCGCGAACGTTACCTGGTCCGTAGAACTTCTTCCCTCTGGTCACGTCAAACACTTTTCCGTTGATGGCCATGAGGATCCGCGGGTTCTGCAGCCCATCGTAGGGCTTCAGCTCCGCAAGCGTAAAATCTCTCTTCTTCATTTTGGGCAGTGGTTTGTCCTCCTCGCTGAGCTCCGGCGGTTTGTCCCCGCGGAAGATTTTGTACAAAAGGAACAAGCAGAGACTGAGCAGGGTCAGATTCAGCGGAGAAGTGAAGATCTCCTGAAAAATTCCACCAGAAGTTAACTCGCTACTCTCTGCTTCGGCCATGTTGTCGTCTCTTTCCCCTGAACCGTGTGTGCTGGGTGGGATTGGTGGAGCCTGACCTCACACTACTCAACGGCTTTGGGCCGAGCCAGCGCTTGTGATCCCTGGACCAATCACAGTTCTCTCTCACCCTTACAGTCCGCTGTTTGGACCAATCAACGTCTTCTAAGTGCCTCCATAGATATCGTACTTTGTCCATGTAACAATCATCTGTGGAGGCCAAAAAAAGTCTAAAAAACGCCAAAAACAACAAGAAAGTTACGGTGCGACATGAAACCCCGACTAAAAGAAGATATAAAAGACTACAAACAGTTATGTAATACAGCCACAAACAAATTAAACAAAACAGAACATAAATTAAATACAAAGATGCAAATTTATACAAATGCTTCTTAATTCCTTTGTGTTCATTTTGGATGTTTTTTACTGCATCTTGTGTTTTTTGTGTATGTGGTCTTTGTTTTCTTCATTTGGTCCCCGAATTAAATTAATGTCCTTGGTCCTGTGGTGGATATCGTCAATAATCTATCATACAACCTGTACCAGTTTTTTCAGTTGTGGAGTTTTATAAGAGTCAGGTACTTATTTCTGTAATATATCAGGTGAAACGTCTGGAACATCTGTCCAATTTCTAAAAGTTTTGTTTACATACTTTAGAAAAATGGATATCAAAATAAACTACACTGCACAGTCTGACATTCTGCATACAATCTTTTATATTAATAACTTTACACAAAAAACTAACAATTATTTATTCTGTTTTAGGACTGATTAATATGACAAGTCTTTAATTAGTTCCAAAACAGAATAAATAAATAATAAATAAGTAAATAAAGATATATTTCTATAAAAAAAAGTAAATGTAAACAAAAACAGGCTTAAAATGTTTAGAAGGTCCCAGCACAACTACACAATGGCTACATATTCCTATTAAAAGAGATAAAATGACCACCACAACAAAGTTATGTTACTATAGGACAAACACAAACAAATTAAACAAAGCAACACACATAAAACAAACACAGAGACGCAAAATGACAGAAACGCGCTTCTTTGGACTCAGTGTTTTTGGTTGTTTTATGTCTTTTTGTGACTCGCTGTTACTTTTAAATAAAAATATTTTTATAAAATAAAGTTTAAAAAAGTGGATCATTTTCTTGTGCCTGGTGGTCTCATTCAATAATTAATGCTTGAGATAAATATATTCATGAATTAATTGTATAATATGCTAAATCAATACATATTATTATTATGTGTGTAACTTGTAATCTTGTATTCTTCTAGATTTAAGTCTCTTTTTTTTAAATTCTGGGTGGTTTTCTGATGAGATTAAGGTGCACACAAGCATACTGAATTAAATAATACCAGCAAAAAGCTGTGGTTGTGGTAGAGTCATTTGTGGCTTTCAACATCCGTCGATTGTGTCATGAAACTCGGTCCACTTCCTCTTGGAAACCGCCTCTCTCCGGTCTTTGGTTCCCACCCAAACAAACAAAGCTCAGCTGGCGATTTTTTTCCTCACAGAAGCGACACTCAGCTTCGTGTCCGCCCCAGCTGCAATAACCTGAACCTGTTTTCAGAGGACTGGATTCCTGATAACCAGAAACCATGACCAGTTGGCTCCCGTGTGTTCCGGTAACACGCTCAGCTGACTGAAGGCTTGTTTATAATTTCACTCATTGCGCAACAATAATAACGTTACCGAGCTAACCGCCAGCGCTACCAGTGCTAACACTACCCGGCTCTGCGAGGCTGGGAGCAGAGATGAAGAGCGAGCCGACGGCTGCTGTGTCCACTTTAAAGCGGATTTGATAGACGGGGCTCAGCCTTTCGTTTTGGTTCCTGCTGGGAGGAGATCTGATGCTACGAGAGATTTGTTGAGTCAAGCTAGCTACCCGGTGAGTTTTGGTGTTTTTATATGTAGGCTAGCCCAACTCGGGAGCCTTGAAACCCTGTAAAGATAATGCTCGGCCGTGTTTGAGCAAGTAAGCTAGCTGGATCATTTCTAGCTTCATGCAAGGTAGTAAAACCACACCTTTGCCTTTTTTTATTAAGAGAAAATAAAAGAAAGAGACTTTAGTAAAACTCAAATTAAAGCTAACTCTTTATCTCAGGAATAGAAACACACCTAGTAAGACTTAGTTTTCCTTTTAAATTCAGGTTATCTTAAAATAATATAGTAAAGTACATAGTGTATAAACATTTAATCTACGTTATGATAATTAGTGGTTATTTTCAATGACAAGTGCAGCAGTTATTTGGTAGTAGCTATAATTTTAAAGGAAATAATTCGTGTTTTATGTTGTTTGTCAGATTAAACTAGAAATTAAAGCTACAATCGTACCTTTTTCTTTGCGACTTTTGTGTAGGTTTTTGAGGGTTGGGTCTTACTGCTGCAGTTTTGTTTCACTTTCATCTTTGAAAAAATAAGAAAAAATGCATCCAGAGATTCAAATCGTAACAAAATGATTGTGAGATTCCCTGTGAAGTAACTATGGTGTTAACAGACTCCTACAGAAGGGGTGAGGATTTAAGTTGATAATTTCTCATTGTTTCCAGTGCATGATTTATAAAGTTCAGTCTCTAACTCGTGTATTTTCTCTTTTCAGCTGCCTTATAAATCAACTTCCCTCTGCTCTCCCTTGTTTGCTGTGCCGTGGTCTCTCCTCTGGCTTTTCCAGACGCCATCGTTATGACCGCAATGCGTGTGGACGTCAAAGTGGTGATGCTAGGAAAAGAGAGCGTGGGAAAGACTAGTCTGGTGGAGAGATATGTTCACCATCGCTTCTTGGTGGGCCCGTACCAGAATGTGAGTGTCAGCTGCTCCACTTCAATTTTCCATGTTGGTCTGCTGCCTCCATGAAGAGCTTCAGTTTTAACTTTAGCCCCAGGGAGGCTGTGGTAACAGAAGATCAAGTCTGTGATTGTTTCAATGCGTCAAAGCTCTGACAGGAAGTAGGGTTGCAGTAATGTTTTAGTACATTTCTGCAAGCTATTGCTGCATTTTGCATAAATAATAACAGTATAGTAAACATTCTATATATACCACCTTTGCAAAGGGCTTTGACAAACAGACAAACACAGAACAATCAATGGTAGATCCAAACATTAAAGTTGGACAAAAAATGTAAACTTATACATGTATAAGAAAAGAATAAAGGGAGCCTGGAAGGCAAAACTATAAGGTAAGACATCAAATAAAAGAGAGTTCTAAGAGGTGGTTACCCACTCTGCAAGCCTAATCTCCTCAGGTAGGTAATTCCAAAGTGGGCACCTTCAGATGTAGGTCTGGAACAACCAGGAGGCCCCACCTAAGGATTTAAGGCTCCAGCTCACTCATTTCTGTAGCTGTGCACCTATGAGCCAGACATCCTCAATTCTATCTTGTAAAGGAAGCTGCTGTGTTGATGACTTTCTCCATGTGAGAGTGTGAAAGTATTGGTTTTATCCTCACAGTGTTGGCCTCCCTCGTTCTCACTTAACAGTTCATTTATTCTCAATTCCTCGAGCTTAGGTGTGGCCAATGCAACAGGCTTTTAACAAAGTGAACCATCTTCACCTATGAGCCTTATTTTAAAGTGATTCCAATTAAATATGACTGCATCATAAATTGTTTTCTTAGACCCAACAGGATTAATGGCATTTGTTTTATATCTTGGACCACTTCTAATTGCACCATGTGACAATACTGTGAGGTGCAGAAAGTTTGATGATCCAATTAATCATCTCACATAATCAAGTCTTTTTCCCGCCATGGTTTGTTTATTCCAGCTAGGTGTCACACCCGTTTTATACAAGTCATTAGCCTCTTTAAAGCAGCAGGAGTTAACCCAAAGTGCCTTCTGGTTTAGGCAAACCTGTTAGCCTTCCAAGTCTCCAAAAACACAAACACTAAAATAGAAGACGTAAGTAAACACACATCATGTTTAAAATCTACAAATGGAAACAAAAACCAATTAACTTCAAAATGATAAAAAATAGCTTTTAATGTTATTCAAAGTGCATATTTAGGATTTTCTGGAAAATCTAGATATTGCTTACATTTCCTACAACACTCATG